TAGATTCTCCATTATTATTTAGTATATGATCCCATATCGAATTACTAATTACTACTTGTGCCACTGCAATCCGTGTCTATTTCTGTTGAATGTTAATAGAAATCCAAGAAAAAAAGAGGTGTATGCATTAGTATGTGGTACTTTCAGTTCTTAAAGCTTTATCGCATGTTCTTGCATTATAGCTACATATCTACAACAGGTATCATACCTTTGCATATTATNTAGATTCTCCATTATTATTTAGTATATGATCCCATATCGAATTACTAATTACTACTTGTGCCACTGCAATCCGTGTCTATTTCTGTTGAATGTTAATAGAAATCCAAGAAAAAAAGAGGTGTATGCATTAGTATGTGGTACTTTCAGTTCTTAAAGCTTTATCGCATGTTCTTGCATTATAGCTACATATCTACAACAGGTATCATACCTTTGCATATTATCTGTTGTTTGTATTACCATCATATAGAAAAATGATGTAATGAAGATTTACATGAACTTAAATACATAAATGTAGAAACAAAAGCAGTCTTCATCTTGTCGCTGCACAGTTGATTTAATTAAACGAAGTAAGGAAAGAAAAGGACGGATTTAGAGATTACATGCGAGAACCCTTCTGCTGCAGAACCTAAAATACAATTTAATGATTGAAACTTAGAATAATATATTGAAGATTTTATATTAAAATTATATATCTAAGATCTATGAAGCCAATCAATATATATTACTTCTTCCTTTCTGTTTTGTACAAGTTTGTTCATAAAATCTATAAATGAACGAATTGTAGCATTGTCCAGCCTCTGCATTTTGTTATATAGTTTTTATTTCACTAAATGTTATACTCAAATATTTTCGCTGCACTTATAAGAATACTTTTATACAAAAATTATTGCTTCCAAATAATTCTACATTATTTCATTCATAGTCCCATTTTTATTGATATTTAAGAATCCATTATTTTTTACAAAAGTATTTTAATATTTCTAGAACAAAGGGACGAAATACACGTGAAGTATTTCAAACATGCAATAACGAATCATGCAGGACATAGGGTAGAAAGTAACCAAACCAATGAAAGAAACAATTCTTTATTCGATGAACAGCATGCGATACAAAAATAACAGTATGATACATATAGCAAACATCAGAGGCGGAACATGCTCATGCGAATTGGCCCCTGAATTGACACAAACTAATGTAAAAATGCTTCGATAATTAAAGTAGAATTAATTATCGATAATAGTACAGTATCGTTTGGATCAGATTACAAAAAGTTATAAAAAATGAAAAATAAAAATATTTGTAAGTTTGATCTGAACACTAAAATGTAAATTACTTAATAATAGTTGAGTGCGCATTTTGAATCCACTATAAGGCACTCTTTTAACTTTTTAAATTACAAAACTGTTATTTGTAATGTATCTTGGTTTATACAAATTAGTATTTGCATATAGATATGTAAGGAAATAAAATGAATAAAGAAGCGTGACTTATAGAAGATCTTTACCACA